AACTACTGTATAATGCCTTTTGTTCTCAGGACAAACAGGTGAAAGGCACAGTTTATAGAATCACTGGATCAATTCCTGCCAGCAACTTCATTCAGTTCCCTCGCACCAGCACTCAGTCATTAGGGTTGACCGGTAGATTCTTGTACTGCCTATTCCGTCCGATTGCTGGAAAGTACTTTGTTGTCCATGTGGATTTAGCAACAGATGATGGACTTACCATTAGGATTTCCTTCTCAAATATGTTTAAAGAGTTCAAGTCCACCTCAACATGGCTACAGTTTCCATTTGTCTCCAGCCCTCCTCCTGGTTCAGTGGATGAAGCTACTCTCAGTGAAGCGGGCACCATAACAAGTGAGGATTGTGTTAGCATCAGTTGGTATAACTAAATGTAACCAGACATAACCTTTTTTGGGCAATGAGTTTATTAGTTTGGAAAAGAACTTTCATGTTAGATTGGTGGGTTAGTGAATACATATAGGTGGTTATTATCAGCCACAAATTGATAAAGGTCAGTTAAGAGACATGGTAAATTTTGAAAAGCTGTCATTTTAAGCTCTATAAACCCTTTAACCTCTAAGAGTGACAAGCATTTAATTTCTCCTTACAATATCACCCTTGAATCAACCATTAAGGTCATGAGAATAGAGGAAATGATCACCAACTAAAGCAGGTGTTGATTATTAAACAAATTCTCTTTGTCAGCACCTTAGGAAATGTATAGTAAATAGTATGGAGAAAATGGATATTGATGTTAGGGGCTAAAGGGTTAACCCTTCACTGGAGTAAATAGGTAACTGGTGGGTTTTGTGTGTGGTGATATAATAGAAATAAGACTGAGTGTAGTACAATTTTACACATTTATTGACTAGGCTTGGTATTCCTTCTGTTCATTTTTCTCCATCAGGTCTTGTGGGCACTACTTCTCAAACAACTCGCTGGACTGTTCTGGTGCTAGACTTTCGATACATCCTTTCTGTCTACCTGAACCGCCAATATTCTTACATGAAAAGCATTCGCTTGTGTGCCAACATGTTTCTCAAAGGACTCTTTACAAGTGACATAGATTATGCACCTGGCATTTCTGCTTCTGAAGCCAGAAAACTAGGCTTACTGGATAAAGGAATCAGTCCTTTGCCAAGAGAAATGGCATTTCCTTTAGCCAAGGGAGCAGATTGGGACCAGTTATATGACTACATCAAATTCCCTCCTGATTCCAAAATTGCACAATTTGGAATCATGGCAAATATGAAGTCTACATTACAACATGCCAATGGGGAGCAACCTCCAACCGCTGCAAGGGAAGAAAGACGGGTCAGAGTAAATCATGTCAATCAGGTTGGTTCATCTGCAAAACTTTCCCAAGAAACTTCTCAACACTCAAGAGGTGACATAAAGGTATGAAATGTGCTGTGTACAATAAGCACTTAATGACTGGCCCCCAAAAAAACAAAATTCAGTGTTTCCTGGGGGGGCCCAGTCATCAAGTGATTTGTAATATATCCCAACTCAAAAATAGAACAAATTATACATGTTTGCCTTCCCAAGCTTTTCCAGTTCTATAGTCACAGTCCAAATCACTTCATTGGCCAAATAAAATGCTTCATCTTCATTGGTTTTAAACCTTTTTTCTCTTGCAAGTATCTGGCAATAGCATAGTATATCCTTGCCATAGAACTCTTGGATGAAGTGAGCTATTGCATTCTTGAGCACTTTCATTGTTAAGGTCTGTTTAGTTTAAATCTCCGAAGAAGTCTCTCAATGTTTTCACATTATTGTAGTTGGCCTTGTTAGTAGATTTCAAGCTTTTTTCCCAAAAAAGCTGATAACCTGATCAGGTATAAGGTGAAACTTTGAGCTGTTGTTTCCCCAGGGAGTTACTGAGTTATGTTTGTGCCTAGGGGGTAAATGAGTCTTGACCCATGGCACACCACACAGTCTCCTCCAATCTCAAAACTTATTTGAGTTGGCAGATAAATTAACAATACATTCTACAAGGATGATAATAGATTGTTAAGTATTCACCTCATCATTAGACTCACTAGGAAACTTTGTCATTAATTTTTGAGAACAGTGAATACTCTCAGCATATGATTATTATTTTTTGCCACCAACTGTATATTTTTACAGACACGTCAAGCAGTAACCTCAAGGGTAGCATTAGTGGACAGACTTAATCCACACAAGCAACACCCAAAAAAGCGCAAACACATTGTTCCTACTGCCCTACCAGCAGTAGGAATCCAAGGAGCACAAGTGGCAGATCCAAATTTTGGTGAAGTACATGTCTATGCCCACCCAAATAAATCTGTCACTAATCTTCAACAACGGAAAGAACCAGATAAGGTCCAACAGGTAAACACTGTATAATCGGAGAGGTTCAATTTATTTTCTCTGAAATAAAACTGGCTATCTTTGATCCTTCTTTCTTACATTTGATTCTGATTTTAGTTGGAAAGAATGGAAATACCAAAGGCTTCTAGGGCAGGAAACTTCACGGTGAGAAAGAGTGAATCATTTGAATTATAAGAATACAACTTAACCCTTTACACTCTAGGATCAGTTTGCAAGTTCTCCATACTGTTTTCTTGACACTTTATATTGTACTATTGTTATTCTGAAGAGTCTTGCAGCAGTTATCACAAACACTCAAGTCAAATAATTTGTGACGTTTTGCATAATAATGCTTTTATCTCATCTCTAGTTCAAAGAGCTTACTGCTCCTTCATGGATCTGCTTTTCATAACTTACATTTGTTTATATTCTTTTCAGACGCTCAAACCAGATCCCATTCTGTCTCTGAAAAGAGTTGTGGGGTTTGGAGGTG